CGTTCGGCAATGTAGCAGCTCTGTGCCATGCAGTCTATTGTCTGCGATAAGCAGGACTGCTTTGTCGCATGCTCGGACTAGTTACTTTCGTAGTTCTGTTGTTTACTTTGGGCGATTCATCGCTATTTTTAGTTATCTTATATAAATATATCGATTTCATTCTTCACTACCACGGCAGCAAACCAGTCCTCTGTAATCAGAACTTTACTAAACAGTATTTACCATAGGTAATTGACCTCAGAGTTAACCAGCAATCCACAGTACTGTGAGTTTTATTAATGTTGTTACATGATAGGTAAAGCAGAGATTGATGAGTCCAAGTTGTGGTGCATTAGTATCATGGACCTTTTGCACTAAATCTCAAATACAGTCTCTCTACAGTACGACGACCTGCATAGCATGGTCGACGTTGTGAACCTTCATACAGGGAGAAGTGGAGAAGTGTGATAAGAAACATTGTACTTACCGTCAACAAGTAATTTTACCCGGGCAAGGTTCTAGATATTTCATGTAATTGTATAAATGTGGACGAGGCTCATAGACGTTCCCTCACCGGACGAACAAAATCTTCTGGGTTTCTAGTGAAATGACGAAAACTGCTAGCAAATGTTACTATTCTGAGAAAGTGTCCTATTGCTAAAATGGAGTCTACAGGTAAAATATATAAATAAAAGACTTCTCGGCAGTCTCTGCCATCCAATGGGACTAGATATTCATAAATTTAACTCCCGCTCAGTTTACGAGTGTTTTGAATTCAAGTGGTAGGAATAAATATAAAACCACTTCTTTATAAAAAAAAATAAAACTTTTAACTGACAGAGCTGTAACCAACTAACATATATCCTTATTTTACGCTCAAGGTTCAACAAAAAAAAAGGTAAACAAACTGCTGCTGAAACACAAGAGTCGCTGTTATCATAAAGCAAATTTACATTGTTCAAATGGAATTTTGTTTTCTGCTGTTCAAGCTCACTTCTTCTTTGAAGAAAGCGGCTGGCCCATATCCTTCCCTCGCAGTTTCACACCTAAGGCCCTTTCCATTTTTGATAATATCTACAATGTCAGAAAGTCAGTCACATAATACTGGTAAAGGTCTGGCGGTCACAAACCTTCAGTGCAGAAGAACGGTTTTGTAAAAAGGAATAAGTAACTAATTTTCCGGGTTATGCACACCTGTTGGTTAGGGACTGCTTTGCCGTTTTCATATTCCGCCACAACCTGAGGTTTCTCGTTAATCCGCTAAAAAAATGTAAGTGAAATGGAACCGCCATGGAATCAATTAATTTATAAGAACTAGTCACTCACAATAGTAAAAAAATTTTTTCGCAACATGGGCTCTAACGACCAGAATTACGTGCTTCTTCCGAGAAGCAAAAGCAATTTAGGATCTATACAGCGAGTTGTACACCCTCTAATTCGCCAAAATTTCTTCTAACTAAAACGCAAGAACCACCTACAGTAGCCAAATCTTTCTGGGTCCATTCTTTAGCTTGCCTAGCCTGCTGCATTACTTTTCCCAAAGAAAGAGAAACTCGATCATGATGCATTTCTTCCTCCTCTTCCACCCTTAAAGCATATCAGTGTAGGTAGACGCGTGTGCCAGTGCAAAAATAGTCGGCTCCTCCATCGAAAAAAAATAGCGAAAATGAATTTAAAAAATGCAGCAGAGATAAAAAATAAAATTAAAAAAGGCGAATACAGAGAGCTAATTACAGACCTTGTCGCGAATTTATCTAGTTGGTGCTGTTTGTTCGACCCAGCAGATATTCTTTTCGAAGTTTCTATGGCTACACCACGTCTTTGAGCTGCGTTCAATTCCTAAACGCCGTGTTACTCCACTAATTACAGTGAGCCTCTCTTCTTCATAAGGAAGTTCAAGGAATTAAGATGTTTATACAAAGAAAATTCAAAGTAAGAGGAATCAAAATTAACGTCAACGGCTTAGCGCAGGAACAACAGTGAAATCTTCAACTTACAGCAGGAGTTTTCAACGTCTTTTGAGCTGGCCCCCTTCGATGCAGCACAGTCACCGTGTCTGGGTCAGTATCAGAAACTAGCCTTCCCATTTTCGACATTTCGACCAAAGCTTGTAAAATGAAGGAAAGCCAGAAAAAGAACTGAAAAAAAAGGACCGTTTTCCGGCAATTTATACGTTTCACATTAAAAACGGTTATATGTTTGCAACCTGCACGTTAGATCGATAAGCGACGATCAGAAAAAATGACGATTTCAATTAGACCATTACTCACAGTCGCAACAAGACGGACAGCACCAATTGAAAGTGTAAAAAGTGAGCGAAAATGAAAGCATACGAAAATCTCTATCTTATAATGAACACTAATAACTACTGCATCCTGCTTATACTTTCCCAGTTCAGCAGCAACATACGTAACCTTCAGTGTGAGCCTCGTATTAGTACTTACTGACCATGGCGGGGGGTTTGGAGAGAAAGCAGTAGCTCATCCCTTTCTAAATTAAAAAAGCATGAACTGTCAGGGACCAGGACGCCCCAAATCCTTGAAACAACTGACTTAAAGCGTAAATTTCCAAAGATACAACGACTGGTTTTAAAAAATTAAATCATTCATCAGGCCATTCGTTTGACTGTTCCCCTAAGATTTGAAGTCGAAAAATTTACATTCTCAGCTAAATAACATGGGCTGTACAGGTCATGCTTAACTGCAAAATGTGATTGGCTCCTCCAAATTAAAGGAGTCCCAACCTGTTTTTTTATAAACGGCAAAAAAGTAGAATGCTTATGATAGTTTATTTAACCAAACTATGACAGTAGCGAATGTGGCAGTTGGATTAGTGGATGTCATCCGATAAGAAGACATGGCAAAGCAGTCAAACTTGGTTCCAACCGAACACATCAAACGAAAAACTCATCCGTCACTGAGACAGATCAATGGATATTTTTTACGACCAGGTCAGTAAAGTTGTTCAAATCGTCCAATCGCTGTATATAACATTGCACGACGTTGAACACCGGCAATGTGAGGTGGATCACCGGTTGAAGAAAATCCGTTTAGGAATCTTATTTTTAAATAGCACGCAAGTGTCATAAAAAATCTTGAAGATTGAGCTGTATTCATAATTAGTTTGAAACTTTTGCAAGAATTGTTGTGCACTTGAAGTGGGTTTGGAAAACTATGAATTTCTTGGAGGTTGTAGAAGTCGTTAAAGCTTCAGTTAGAAGAGCTAAAAGCGGAGAGTAACAGGCTCGGCTTTGGTATACGCGTCATTTTAGTGAATCCTCAACTGTACCTATTACCAAAATGTTCGGTACTATATATATAT